GAATAACAACAGACGCTGTTATAACCATCAATGTCTATTTCACTATGTGCATAGTCATTAGTAACATGAGTCTCCGAAAGACACACTACTATAGGCTTGTATTGGTTTATCAAGCATGTCAGTTGCGTTTTATTAGCTTTAAGTCCTTGGATGTTCAAATATATTATTGGCATTTGTGATTGTTATATTTTATTTCCGTTGCCAGATAGTACTGGATAATTGATCCGTTTTTGCAGTTGTTCAACTATTCGTCTATAAGACTCACATTTTCTATCGTACGCTCTGTGTTTATAATCTATGTTCTGTATATTTAAAGTTTGAGATGCATACTTCTTCATTGGCATTACAATTGTCTGCCTTATGTTGTCCCGCACAGATTTGGCATACAGGCAATTCTTTTTTACAATCTTTTGCCATATGGCCATATTTCCAACAGTTGTAGCATTGTCTGACATTAAAGCTGTCCTTGAAAAAGCAACTCCTCTATCCAATATGTATTTTCTCGCTTATGCTGATGCATTTATATGTGCTACTGTCCATCTGAAGAACAACATTCATTGATCCTTTTCGATTCTTAAACGAGTAAATTGTTTTAAGCTCACGGGCAGTAGGATCTGTATTTATTACATTTTGAACAACAATTTTATCCAAAAATGCCCCTTCATCCTCCAGTTCAGCTGGATTCAATAATTGTACCCAAATTTGGTAGTTCGTTTGCTAAATGTTTAAGAACAAATGTCACGTTAAACTATTTTCTCACTAATCACTCAACATTAGACACACACTGACTACTTACCACTTTCACATAGTTTTATTGGCAATACACACAATAAACTTCATATCTTCAAACACATTTTCATAGCGTTGGAGTTCAGCAGCTATTTTAGTCGCATATATGTAGTTTGATGTATGTATGCAATTGAACAGACATTCGGTTTCTTACGATACTAGAAGTTTTCAAGAAATATGAAATAGCGATTATTTTTTAGGGAACATCAGAGTATTCTGTAGAGTTCGGCCAGTTCTAATGGATGACGGTGAAAAACCACTTTGTGGAATTAGCTTTCCGGATGATCATAGTCTGGAAATTTCGAAAATAAACTATTCTTCACTGTTGTTAAGACGGGTAGAATCTTCTGGTGGAAAAATTGGTATGACGGGGAGAACTTCCAAAAATTACCCTCGCGTTCACCATCTATATCTACTTGTATAATCAGCTCCGAACAAATCTTGCATTTTTAATATGTAGTTTCAACATCTGACAGAGCTTCTCCCAGAGTGACTCTCAAAAAACAATATTTTCTGACATTTAGAGTTTGTCTTGTCCGAAGGTTTTTTTCCCGTCGTTTCTAGCAAAAAGAACAAAAAAATGACGATTTCGAAGAGTGGTTGTCCATATATTGGACACAGCCACATAGACAGTGTTAAAAATAACACGTGTATATAATATAATAATCATCTTTATTTTTAATATGGATTTTAACTAAAAAAATTAAACGGGTGTAAAAGAGAATAAATCAGTTCCTTTACAAACAGCCGACGCATCTTAATATCCTGAACTATTCGTGGAAACAACCGCGAAACACTCGCGGATCCTTCACCCCGTACCCGATAACTCACGGTAAAACTCGTTTTTATATTAGAGGCACAACAAAATATTGTTTATGAAATTTATTTACTAGATAATTGCCGGTTTAATAACTGAATTATAAAGTTCGTTTGATTTGTTGAGCTTTGGATAATGGTAGTAACTCAAGGGAATTTGTAGGTATTTGAAGAACTATCTCATTTAGTACAATCGGCCATAGATGGTTACGATGTTTGTGTTTTTGCCTACGGCCAAACAGGATCTGACAAAACGTATACAATGCAAGGAGGCGCCGGTTCAAAAATGGAAATGATACCAAGAACTAGTGCTCTAATTTTTTATTATATAGAAGAATTGAGGAAAAGTGGATGGGAATACACAGCGGAAGTAAGTTCAAGCTTAGGAATGGTTTTTAGTGTACTGGAAATTTTCCAACCGGACTGTTTCTATTAAAGGCGGTAGTTAAAGGTAGATAGTATTTCAATACTTTATGCAATTATATTTGTGCTTGATTCAGCATCTCATTTGCTAAAAACGTAGTAATTATTATCTTTTTCTAACATTATAAACATAGGTGCGTACTGCAACACTTGAATTGTACTAGTGAGAAACTTCAAGTATGTAGCCAGTCCGCAACTAAGGCGTATTTTGACGGCTGTATCTCAGAAACTATTAATCGTACATATTTCAGCGCAAAAAATAGTAATAAAGTGACCAGTAGATAATGCGGAAAGTTATTCTCAATTTAAAAAAAAAGTTGCTAAAGGGATGTAAGCGATAATTGTTGATCTAATTAGAAACAGGATAAAAAGTAAAACAACCATTTTGGACACTGGAAACAATTTTTTGCATGCTCAATATCTTTTTGCAGATTATTAATTATTGACGTTCTCTGGAGAAGTAAGAAACAAAGAGGAACAGCAAGCAGATTTTTTTCTCCAAAATAGAAAATTCAATTCCAATTGTGTTTTAAGCATTATTTTCAAATAGTTCAAAGTAGACTTGGTAGTAACCATTTAAATGCAAAATTACGACATTATTATGGCCGAGAAGAACATAGAAGATTTGAATAGTAAAATGAGCTTTCAGTAACCATTTGAAAGAGAATATGCTAATATGCATATGATGCAGAATTTACATTGCTTTTATATGTTTGATCTTTTTGGAGAGTTTCATTTCTTAGCTAGATAACAGAAAATCACCCCTTCAATTCAATCACCTAAATTACAGATACTTAGAATATTATCAAATTTTATTAAAATCTTTTCAAATGGCAATTTCGATGTAAAAACCTAAAACGGATCTGCTTTAAAATAAAAATATCCAGCTATAAAATTAAGCTATTATGACAATACAGGGTGATTCAAAATTGACGTCATTCCTCTGGAGATGTTGTCTGGCGCTGTTATAGGAGTACAGAAAAATAGTAAAATAAATTAATTGTTATTAAAAACTGAGAAATTTGCAAAAAACTATATCGGAGATATGGCAGCAATGTTTTTCAAGGTAATCTGCCTAATTAACATTGCGAAAATACCTGTTATTCCGTAATTATTTAAAACTCCGGTAACCATGGAATTATACAGAGTGACAATAAGATAGACAACTCAACAGGAATCGTTGAATGACCGAACGTACTTTCAAAATGGCAACCTGTTCTCATAACCTTGAATTCTGCGGGGTTTGGTGTTTACATAAATAATCCATACAACACCAAACATTTGAATGGTTAGCTCCAAACAAGCTAGTGCCTGTGTAATCTCCTTATTATCCACCTTATCAAGCAGCTTCTCGAATTTAGTTAATTAACTCCTGCTCCATTTGTATCTTCTTGTGCTGTGTGTATCGTACAAGCGTGGTAGGAACGTAGCCCTTCCTCGGTATTTATTTGGTGCTTGGGAAAGTGTCAATTACTGTGCTCTGAGTACCCCTGGAAGGCCGTGATTCGATTATGTCCAATATTTGTTCCTCTGTGCCTGGAACCCGAATATCAATTGTCGTCCACTATCATCCTGGAACCAGTTTCCTCGCCCTTTGTTGGCGTGAGTTCTTTCAGCTTCTGCTATGTTACTGCAGCATTTCCATTGAACTAATCGCATATTCGCAAATTCGTGAAAGGAAATTCAAAGTAAGTCACGGTTTGACAAATTATTGTTATTATTGACAAGGGCTATCCACACTAGCGCATATATCCTCACTGACTCCTTGCTTAAATGACGTGCGCAAGTCAGTTTGAGGTTCCATTAATCAAAACAAACTTCTGTTTACCAAAACGGGTATGTATTAGGTATTAGGGCTCGCAATCAAACTCGAATAATTCGAGTATTCGAAAATTCAAAATGCGAATAATTATGTCTAGTCATAACTCTAAAATTCGAATACTGGAATACACAAACATTATCAAACTCACAAGGTGCAAATATCTTTATATGCACTTTGTATACTTTTATAAAATAAGTTATTCATATTCTACAAACATTTAAACAAATAGTTATATATTTACAAGCAAATSAAAATAATTATTTACCCTCCAGCAAATGAATATAAAATTACGTGTTTGTGTTCTGGTGACTCGCCACATCAACTTTTGCGTGACGTTACAATTAGTGTGCCGACAAAGGCACTTTTTTATCCGTTCGGCTTATTTAGAGTTTGATTCCGAGCCCTAATGCAAATCCGTTTTGGTAAATAGAAGTTTGTTTTGATTAACGTAAGCTCAAACTGACTTGCGCATGTCATTTAAGCAAGGAGTCAGCTACGCTATATGCGCTAGTGGCTATCCACCTGTAACTATCTATTAATGACAAAAAACATCATTGCCGCTGTGCCTTTTCATCAAAAAATTGTAGACGAGAACTTTTTTGATATCAAAAATATCAAAAAATCAGTATCTGTTCGATGCCAATGAGGCCGAAAGCTGGATGAGCGACCAGGAGCTCTGCATGAGGGTGGAAGATCGGGGCAAAGATGAGACCAGCGTCAGGAACTTCATGAAGAAGCACGAAAATCTGGAATCGGCCGTTGAAGCTTATGCGGACACCATCAGAGGACTGGGTGAAACTGTAAAGGCCCTGTCGGCTGAAGGACATCCTTTGGCCGAGCAGGTCGCTGTTAAACAGTCGCAACTGGACAAGCTGTATGCCGGACTGAAGGATTTGGCGCAAGAACGTCGCGCTAAGCTGGATGAGGTTTTGCAGGAAGACCTGCTCAACAGAGATGTTGGCGATTTGGAGCAGTGGATAGTGGAGCAGCGAAGTGGTGGCCTCTTCTCATGAACTGGGCCGAGATGCTGGTTCTGTTTCAACTCTGCACCGCAAACATCAGAACTTCATGCAAGAGCTACAGACGCTTCAGAACCAAGTGCAACAGATCCAAGAGGAATTGGTCAAGCTTCGACCCAGCTATGCGGGCGACGGCGCTAAAGAGATCACAAATAGAGAACAAGAAGTGGTGTCTGCATGGGCCAGTTTGCAAATGGTTTGCGAGCAGCGCAAAGGAAAACTGGTCGATACTGGCGATCTGTTCAAATTCTTTAACCTGGTGAGGACGCTGATGCAATGGATGGACAACGTGGTGCGCCATATGAACACCAGCGAAAAGCCGCGCGACGTCGGCGGCGTTCAACTGATGATGAGCAATCAGAAGAGCCCTCAGGCAAAATTTAAAGTTGTCTACATTCACTGTTTGGCCAGATATAACGATGATCCAGAAATTACCTAATCGGGGCGATCAGGGTTTAGAAGGGGGGCAGCGTAACGGAAAATTCTCATGTTTAGAATGGGGGGATCGAAATTCATGGTATTTCAGTAAATGGGAGCCCCATTTGCGCCCCATTTACTGTCAAATATGACACTGACAAGCGGGAATTCGCACCTGGTCTGGAGATTTCGAGAACCTTCTGGGTTACCTGAAGGAATCTATATAAGCGGCGAGGAGAGCCACAGGGGGTATGTTCTGTGACAGCAGCGACCGAGTTCAGAAGAGGTTAAACCCCGCGAGTCGGAAGTCTGAGTTTTCCGTTTGTTATTGTTATTGTTTGTGAAGTTGACGTTAATTTAGAAATTAGTTTGTTCCTGTTCCGTATTTAAAGTGATCGTCCTTGCATTTCCGTAATCCGCGGTAAATAATAGGAACCGATCATTTCTGCAAAGGTACATTTTAAGGAGCTAACACTACTTTAATGCACATCTGACAGCAATGCTCCCTTTAACCTTAGTGCTACTAGTCTACAAAATAAATTAAATTTCGAAAGTTTTGCTGCAGATCATTTGGTAATTATTTAAATGATTTTTAAAAATAATGCAACGTAACAAAAACTAAATAAGCTAGATTTAATTATATTCATGAGACAAGAAAATAACACAAAAAAATTGTAGTACTCTTATTTGTTTGTAATCAATCAATTTTAGCAAATAAAAAAATGGGCAAATTATTTATATAAAATAATGGGCAAATAAAAAAATTGGTAAATTATTATTATCCATAATAAGCAAGCCAGCTTTTAGTAAGTACCAAGTAAATTAACTTCATTTATTTATACGAAAAAGTGATTTGAATGACAGCATTGGAGTTCTGTGAGTCACGTCTTCATTGTGTGATTAGTTCCATTTACCTAGTTTAGATACGTTGTTTTGATAATCGTGTCAAAAAGTGACCAAAAATCGACGTCGATTCAGTTCGACAATATACTGGTCATACTTAGTTAATCTATGGTCATATTTGCGTCATCAGAGATTAGTAGACTAATAATAAATCTATCACCCATCTAATCTCTCTCTTCTGGCACCATAGCCCATAAATCTGCAACATCCAGCTCAGGATTCCACAATTTGTTACTACTATCTATTCAGTTACCCCCTGTATGTGAATATGCACCACATAGTGAATACATGCGTAATCGTGCCATTTATACCAGTCAGTCTTATTCAGTTGACAATACTCGTCCAATAAAGCCCTTATTTATGCACTCATGAAATAAATAGCTGTAATTCACAAAATATTAAATGTCAAATTGAAGACGATATTTGACTTTCGCCAACAAAAATTTGCAACATTGCAATTTTCGAAAAATGGCTGATAAGAAGACAAGATAATTTGCACTGAGAAAACAACCACACCAAACATATAAACAAATAAGAAAATAGGTTTTTCTATTTTAGTATGTGCTGCTCTAAGCCAGAGATGTATATATACTGTCAGCCGCTATAAAGCGGCTGATTTAAATTCTCTATTCAAAGTTCCCGCCTTCAAATTAGCATCCACGCCATTTTTCCTCGACGGGAGCGCCATCTTCGGTAAAGGTAGAGCTAGCGTTCACGTTTCGATTTCGGTCTGGCTATTTTACCATATAAATACGAAATTTTCGTATTTGTGAGCAACAGTGCCCCAAAAGCATCCTCAACACTGTGAGCCCCATGTGCAATTTTGATAATGAGTTCAGATTTTCCCTGTGAAGTGAAGCCAGCCGAAAGATAGTGACATCAAAAGTGACCTGCATAACGTGAACTCTAGATACAATGTTATAGGTGCATATTGGGATAATTTTGATGTTATTTCGTGTACCGCGGCTGGAAAATGGAAGATCCGAAGCAAACCGATGAGCTGGTGACTCCTGAAACCGCAGAGGTGTCCCCTGAAGATGAAAAAGTGGCTGAAAAGGAGGCAACTGAAAAAGACGCCGATAAAATGGACCCCAACCCAGAAACAGTAGCAACTGAAAATGGAAACTCGCTGTTGCAGACAAGCACAGAAAGTGCTACATCACTTGACGCAAGCATGGAAAACGATGCACTATTTGAGACGAGCGCAGAAAGTGCAGCACTACTTGAAACAGACACCAAAAATGATGCCACAAATGAAACAACCACAGAACAGACCGCGCTACTTGAAACAAACATAGAAAGTGCCACACCTGAGGTTACTCCTGCCGCAGAAATAACCGAGGAACCAGCAAAGGCTCCTGAGCCGCCCGGTGAGCCTGTTGAGAAAGTACAGGAGCAGGAAAAAGTAGTGAGAGCCACCAGGAGCACCAAGCGGAAAGTCAACGAGATTGATTGCAATGATAACTCAAAAGATGCCCCCAGCCATGAGACATCCGAGCAGAAGGAAAATGTCGTTTCAAAGAAGAATGAAAACACACAAAATAGTAACACCCAAACCCAAGGTATGTAAGTAAAGGCCACTGTGTTCATTCTGGAATAAGTATTTCCTTTCCTTCTTTACTTACTGTTGTCGCAATTGAAGGTGTAGTAGGTAAACCCTTTTGATCAAGACGGTTTGACTCTCGATTAATTTTATTAGCAAAGAGAAACTGTGTAGAGTAGCGGTTCTTATTTGGCCCACGGACCCCTATTGATAGTGAAAACTTTCTTACGAATCCTGGGTAAAAAATCTATTCAGCAGCCGCAAATTCCCACGAGTTTTAATTTCTAATTGATTTCTTTTTCTTCTAAAATAGGATTTTGTAAAGGAAATTCTCGTATCCTTATTTAAACATTGGTGTCAGTTTGTAATTTGTGGATAACTCCACAAGTTTCTCCAATTAGTGTGTATTCATCTGCATTTGTGCTCTGAATTTGAGTACTTGCAAAAGGGTCTATTCAATATTTTTTTTTTAACCTTACGAAGACCCCCTGACGTTGTTCAGGGACCCCTCAATCGATTTGAATTTTCCAAGGTCTTCCTGAATGATCCCAGGGACCCTTTGGGGTCCGTAGGGACCACTTTAGCAACAACTGGTGTAGAGGTAGATTTGACTTTAACTGTGTGTTTTGGATACTATTAAAGTTGAACAAATTTCCGCGCGTTTTAAAACGTTGTCTTTAAAATTCAATTCTCAGTTCGAAGAAAGGTTGGAAGTGCACTTGAAATCCGCACGTTATTCTCTCATTATCAAGTCTTGGCAGTATTATTTTCCTTTTTCTTAGTAACATTTTTCCAGAAATCTCTTCGCATGATCCACTATCAAGCACTGAAGTGATGGGCAAAGGCAAAAGAGCGCGTATTCCAAACAAACGGTACAGTGATATTGTGCTGTCGCCAAATAGGCGAGGATTTAAAGCTACCTTTGACAACACGACCGACCTAGATGGAGGCTCAAAAAGTGACTTGCTTGAAAATGCATCCAGTGGACCTAGTTTACCAAAGAGAAACCGCAATTCATTTCCTAAAGAAAACATTCAAGTAAGAGTGGTGTTTAATCATTGTCTTCAGCGTGCTTCAATTTGGTGATTGGTTGCAGGATCCAAAGTACTTCAAACCTTTCAAATTTGGTTGGAGGCGTGAGCTTGTTTGGAAGTCCACTCCTACCGATACTAGGAAGAAGGGCAGTATTTATTATTACACCCCAACGGGAAAGAAAGTTCGGACATTCCGAGAACTTTCCGATCATTTGACTGGCAAAAATCTGACGCTGGATAATTTCTCGTTCAGTAAAGAGTTATTGGGTATTGATGACCCATTGAAAGAACTTTCTAGGGAGTCCAATTGTGACAAATCAGACAGTGGCTCCGGCTCTGAATCGCCGCCGCCTCCGAGTAAAAAATCCAAGAAGGTAGTCCTTTGCAACAATTGCACTTGTTTTATTTAATGGAGTGTTGTATTTTAGGTGGTGAGTCCGAAAAGCTACGATTCTGACACGTCTAAGTCAGATGCAAAGAGTTCCACCTCAAATAGGCGAAGAGCTGCAATTTCTATTCTAAATCAAACTAGTGAACAATCAGAACCTGAAGCGGAAACCTCAACTAGGAAGGTAGGTTTTACCTATACCTGTGACAATTGACACTGAATGTTTGATTTAGGCCGGAAAAATGTCTCTGAGAAAGGGAAGAGCTCCGCCAGCCAAGAAGGCTCGATTGGCTAAAAACGAAGAAGCTAATGAAATTGAAACTTCAGCATCCGCTGTGAGGTCTAGTCCGCGGAAGACGAGGTAAATGCATATTTGCTTGATTTTTGCTTCAAGATGTCTATTTAGGCATAGAATTGCATTTTATTTTGCTAGGAAATCTACCAAAGTCTCATCGAGAACATTCACAATCTTAATTATTCTAACGTTGTCGTGTGAAATATTGTATTGGATATATAGATTACGCAATAAGTCCTTCTCAATCCTTTCACCTGCATTCAAACCGTCAAATTCGTTTGGTAAAGTACGAATTTGTGTACTCCTTTGTCCTGCTTTCAAATCCCAATGTTCTGACCCGATCGGATAAATTCCAGCAAGCCATGTTCCATTGGGTGCGAGGGTGTTCAAGACATTATTCCGACGCTGCAATGCAGGATCTGTCTTTGCTTGTATCATCACGAATGTGTGGGGTTGAACCCTAGCATCACATATCCTTACGTGTGCAAGGTAAGCACATTGCAAGCCTCCTTATTGGTGTGCGAATTTGAAATTTAATTAAATTGCGTTTGTCTGACCATAGAACTGTGAAGACGGCGTGCAGGCTGTCAATGGCTCTTCTACAGCTAAAGTTTTACCTCCTCCACTTCTCAGCCCTATAAAGGATCCTAAATCCATCAGCTCTTCTGCAGGCAAGTCGTTACCTAAACTGCAGCGCATTTCACGGCTCGAATCTGCTGACCCAATACAAAGTGCGCCGTTAGACGAAGGCAGGAATGGTTTAGGTGAACGAACTGGAATGGAAGTACCGCATAACTTGCAGCAATCTCCGGATGCCACAGCTAAGTGCCAATCGCTGGTTGGTGCAGTAACCTCGTGGCTGCCCCATAATGTTAAAATCGTTGACAATCCTGAAGCCACTGAAGCGCCCCGTCCGCAATATGTGGAATATCTAGCAGGCAGAAAGTTTTTAGTAATTCCCAAACATAACTTTATGTCGGTGTCTGGATCTTCGACCTCACGAGCCCCAGATACGGTGCAACCGACCGAAGTTCCAGTTTCTTCAGGCCATAATACTTCGGAAAGGGTGTTATCTGTTTCTAAAAACACATCAGCCGGTGTTAATGAGGAAGTTTACGAGGTCAAAGATGAACCTTTGTCCCCATTGAAACCGCCAGAGGAAGAAGTGATTCAGACTGCTGCTGCAGAATGCAATGGGGAGGAGAATATCAGGCAGGATACGCAGGAATCTAGCAAGGAAAAGGCAAATGTGGACAATGACGAGTGAGTTATCATTCAAAGGTTTTCCAGTTTAATTATTATTTTGTTTTTTTGGTGAAAGATATTTGGGAAATCGGCCAATTAACAGCGGTAAAAACCGTAATCCTCGGAGCTCTAAAAGCAAAGAAAAGTAAAATCCGCCACCAAACTAAAATCAAATATCAGGTACGAAGGTCGTGAACAAATGTGCAAAATCACAGATTTTTTTTATTTTCTACAGCTTTCAACAAAAATTAATGTTCAACTTTCAATCAGAAAATTAAATTAAGTTCCGCGTTTAAGCACATTAATAGCCCATAAAACATTTTCAAATACAAATTTTATTATTTAAACAGAGCTCAACAATTTAAAAAGAACTCAACAAAGATTAATTGGTCAAACATCCGAAAATAAGTATTACTTTAATAATGCATTAATAAGTTAATTTCTTCAAAGGAAATGACTGCAAATTTCAGAAGACACCGAAAATCTAAACAAATCTTTACAATTTAAGTAGTAATTTGACACTTGTTTTGTGGACGTTGGTGTTTACATCTGATTGTGATTTGTTTTCTTTTCTAATCACTTTATGCTCAAGTTTTTAAAGAAATAAAAACAGATCGAAAAGTATTATTCTATGTTATAAATGTCATCAACTCCAATAAAAAAACTAGTCTGACAAGTGTCAACTATTACTCGACGAGTAATTTGACGTTTCGCAGCGCCACTATCGGTAGTTGAACACTTGCGAATAATCGGTACCACCACCTAATAATAGTCGGATTAGATTTTTCCCAGCACTAACTAAATGGATGTGGACAGGACTAAAAAGTTGCTGGGAAGAAAAGAAAATGTGAAAAAATTCGGACAATAGTTTGCAACAACTTTGTTTGAGGAATCAAAGAAGGTGTGAAAACCCGTTTTTGTGACCTTTTTCCCCAACTTTGAACCGTTGATGCTATTGACAAAAGTTTAGTTTTGTTTATCCGTTAATTTGTTTACTCAAAAAACGAAGAAAGCACTGACGGTTTTAGCGTTTTTTGTATTTTATTTAAAAGGTAGATACTCTGTTGTAGGAGCTTTTTTTCAAAAGAAACAGACTTTTCTGGTTTCAGTTAAAATAAAATATTTTAATTGAAAATTTTGCAATTTGGAAATTTTTATCTCATTCGGAACAGGGTGGACTTTGGAGGACCAAACACAGCTTGATTGTGAGCATTTTCAAGTGTTCTTGTAAGTTTTACTCACTAATGAATCTGTTTCTAATCAAACGTTCTTTCATTCTGCCAGGAGAATGAAATATTTCAAATTGTAAAAATGTATGGAAATAATCAGTTAATTCGCTTCAAGTCTTATTTTGTTGATTCCCTCCCGCTTAAACTAACTTTGGTCGGTCGAATAGGATGCGAAAGTTTAAACTAAAAACTCTTGCAAAAATCGACTAAAATCTTCAATTTAATAATTTGTTTTCCATTGTGTGATTTTATTAGTTCCTTCAATCACTCGCTCTTAAATCCATTTCAAACTTTCTTTTAAAAAATGTTTAGCTTAAAATATTCATAACTTTTTGTTCATAGGAATTAACGTATTTAAAGTGTACAGAGGTCTTCAAAAAGTTATAGTACGATTTTTTAGAAGCAAAACTAAATTAATTTAATTTTTTTGTCTTTTGAGTAAACAATAGAACGGATTTTAGTCCTGTTTGAGAATCCTGTAGGCATTTTAAATAACTTAAAATAGTAGTTTTCGGGCGAAAAGTGTCGTTTTTTAGAACTGCGAAGGCGTTTGGCACCGGAGACGAAGCTGGAGAGGAACACTGGCGGGTCGCTCTGCGAAACTTCGAATTACTCGTTGTCGAGTGACAGTTGACACTTCTCAGACTTGTTTATTTATTGGAGTTTTTAACAGTTGGAGGACATTTATAACATAAAACAATTCTTACACACTTTTAGATATGTTTCTATTTGTTTAAAAGCTTGCAAACGTTGATTAGAACAAAACAAATCGCAATCATATGTAAACACCAATGTCAACAAGTGGCAAATTACTACTTAACTTGTACTCGCTAATAGCCAAAAATAAAAGGCATCAACTTCATATTTGAAATTTGGTGTCAATGCCGTTTTTGAAATTGTCACGTTTTGACGTTTGCAATTTTACATAAGCGGACTATTGTAAGCAAATACAAGTGAAACAATGAGAAAACTCAAATGCTGCTTTCACGGTATAGTGTTTGTAGAAGTTGCATATTTCGCATGACATTTGCGCTATTTAAAAAGATCGTGTTTTGTGTGGGGCAACATCGGCGAGCGCAGAAAAATAGACCATTAGAACCAATTTGAGACTGAACTGGTAACAAAGTTATAATTTACAAATTGTAAGTAAACTTTAAATTATAATCAATAGTTGTCGATAAACCTACGTAATTCATTAATAGTATATTACGGTACAAGAAACGAAAGTCTAAGATCCGCTACTGCTTAAGTTGCGCACGCAATTTCGGGCCTTCGACTAGCCGGGAAAATATAAGGCTCTAAAATAACTGAAAATGTTGAAAAACTCAAGCTGTCAGCGTGCGTGGCAAAATTACTTTCCACACAGGATGAAGAAAATTTGTAATGGATAAAAGATATGCTTTCGCCATCGAAAACGGTGGCGAAAGTATGTACTTTCCACCAGGAAATCAGGAAAAACAATCATCGGTTACTTTTTAATGAAAATACTAAAAAAAGTATAATGCCAGTGACACGTTCGATTTGTCACATTTACTTTTGCGCACATGTGCCTAAAAGTCCGTGAGTAAAATAAATCAACAGTAAAGAAAAGTGCTTCTTTATGTTCATCGCTTCTAATCGAAAAGTGGCTGTTTTTGATTCATTCGAATAGAAAAAGTATTAAACTTTTTTCAAAAGCTTCAACGGTTCAAAAGTAATTTGCAAAAAAGGTTTTTCGCACTAGAGTTTGTTTTGATTGTGGATTGTGTTTTTTAAATTACCTGTAAATAATATTGCTTTTGTCCCTCGTATTTGATTCTACTTTTGTGTCCGTTGCGCTTTTATTTTATTTTAATGAAAAATAAGTTTTACTACATTCAAGTAACCCAAACCAATGCGTTAACATTTGCGACATCGACATTTGACGCAATCGCGGTCTGAAAAACAGCTAAAAATGCAGCAGGAACAGCGAAATCTACCATTGAATGCACGTTTGGTCATAGAAACAACGAGAAATCATGCGTGAGTTGGTATTTTGGAAAATTTTGAATGAGACTATAGGAAAAACAGGTAAAACCCGCAAATAAAACCTGAGTTTTTCTTATGAAAGTGACGATTTTTTACTTTTAGCGGTCAGCAACACAGCTGAAAGGCAGGAGAATACGCGGAATCTAACATTAAGCGCCAGTTTTTGTCGCCAAAAACGACGAGAAATCATCAGAGGGTCTTTTAACATTTGAATCAAACCCAAACATCTTTCACCAATTAGTATCAAGGTCACCAACAAACTGCAACATTATTTTGTTTGCTGCGGTGAAAGGGAGGATTTAAAGTCGAGTAACTATTCCTTTGTACTGCTTTAGAAAACTTGCCTTACTCGACTTTCACGCGCCCTCTTGGGCATTCGTTTGTTATGCCAGCAGTAAATTCCATCGAAGTTAATATTTTGTTTTCATTTTCAGGCTCTCATTACCAAATATCCCTTACCTCTTTCCAATTTGCGTAATCTGCTCCGATACCGGTTTTAATTTGTTTCGGGTCTTGTAAGTGAACGCCAGTTTTTTCGACGTTTTCCCATTTTAGAATTAGTCGCTTCTCTTAGAAACTGCTTGGTTCCTACTAGAATGTTACTTTGAAAATGTTGGCATATGATTTTGAAATTTACATGTTTTCCTCTGGTCCCATTTTCCTTTGCTGTATGCCAGAATTTTGAATGCCTGAAAATGAACAACATTGTATTATTGTCTAGTAGGAGCCATCAGACTATCCGAAGATGCTTTATAATACAATATGTTACAGGACTAGCCAAAGGAGCGGAAACCTGAAGGTCACCAGCATAACGAACACAAACGCCAATGGCCCGGATGAAAAACACGAGGCAAAATTCATGGAAAACTACATGCAAAATATTTCATTCGGCTACAACACTCTACTTCATGTGTTCCAGTATTTGAAAGTACAGGACCTTCTACGAGCTGGCAAGTTTTAGCTGATTTGGCGTGTTTCGGTTCTCGGTTTTAATCTTTTTTTTTATCTTAGGGTGTGTGTGTTCGATGTGGAGGGACATTGCGGGCAGCCCTATGCTTTGGAGAACCATTCGAATGAAGAACTCCCAAGTGCACAGCTTTGTCGGCCTGGCCAATGCCTTGAAAAAACACGGAACAGTGCATTTAGATTTGAGAAAAATGCTGCTACCCAGCACTGGTGATGATATTTGGCCCGAATTTTCCAAAGCAATAACTGGTGTCGATACTTTAAGAAAAATTGAATTGTGCAGGTATGTCGCATATTTCAGTGTGATCTAACGATTGTATAGATTTTTGGCGATTCTTTAAGATGGATGGTGGAATTTGCTTCGGGCTACATTCGGGCTTCTGGCCACTTTTCAAAAAGTCTTTAATCAAATTGAGGGGTGGACATCAGGCAGTTTTGTATTTTTTTAATAGGAAATCCTTGACTACAACACTTAATTTCATTAATTCGCAATATTTCCATCGATTTTTGTCAATTATTTAAACTTGGATGGTGGAATTTGCTTGAATTTGAACATAATTGATAAAAGATAGTGCTTGAAAAAAGCTATGGAGAAATCTTATAGCTGAATGAACAACTGAATCTTTTGAAAATTTGGAATATTTTCATTTAGCAGTCTTTTAAAAACCAGTTTAAATCTATACATTTTGAAATCCGTCTTATAATTCTCCCTAAATTTCAAAAAAGCATGTTTTTTTTTAAAGAACTGACCATCAATGGCAAAGGAACCGGACCTTTTTTCCAAGCCACAAAGTCACCTCACTTTTAAAAAATTTCACTCCCAACTTAAGGCAGATATATAACTTGCCCTTTGGTCTTTAATAACAGGACCGAAGGGCTATTAAAGACACTAAACTGGACAAGTCAAACTATTTTCACGTCAATTAGACCATAACTTCTTTTTTGGCGATTGCTTAAAATTGCAAGAAAAATTAACCAAAGCCCAAAGTCACCTCCCTTTCAACAATTCCTAACTCCCAACTTAAGGCAAACTGGACGAACTGACTTCTTTCAGATTTTTCAACTGAATCAAACCAGAGGTTATTTTTTCTCGAATGTCTAGAATTGCAAGAAAAATTGACCAAAGCCACAAAGTTACCACACTCACAGATTTCTCACTCCCAGCTTACTTAAGGCAGGTACAAATTTGTCATACGGTCCACTTCTAACGTACACTAGACTAGACAAGGTGAATATTTTTCAAGTCAATCAGATCAGAGCTTCATTTTCCACGAATGCCTAAAATCTGACCAAAGCCCCGAAGCCATTTCACTTTCAACAATTCCTCACTCCCAACTTAAGGCAGGTACAAACTTGCCTTTCGGTCCTCTTCTAAGGCCCAAGTCTACAATTGCGGTATATACCAGGAACAAGCTCTTCGTTGAGTAAGATATACCAGGTATAATCTGTGGTATAATACTATGTGTTGTTCTACAATGCAACGATGGCGCGAGAATAACTGTTCCGAGTACATCAAAATTTTGGCTCTGGCAGTGTCCAAGCCGTAGCGGCAACGCTGCCATCGATATGGCACTAGAATGTTTCAGGTAGTTTTCGAAGGGTTATTTCGAATTTTAAACGTGAATTTAGCTAAAAGTTTATGATAGTACCCAAAGAAACAGTATCTAAAATAATTCAGCTGTGGTAATCTCAGATTCTAAATAAAACATCTTAATAATTCACGTTGTTCTTTATTATCCAATTATTCCAACAGTAAATGTGCAAAATGATTATTTATAATTTTTGACTTCATTCTATTATTGATAGAAATATTTGAATTCGGTTATCGATGACGGTAACTCATCTGCGCCAACATTTTCGAAATCCAATTCAATTGGTGGATCTCCATCCTTTTCTTCAACGCAAATGTTATGCAGAACGGCTGTAGCAACAATAATTATCTTTGATAACTCGGCGTTTACTCGCATTCCTAAGGACAATATGGAAAATCTCCTTTTCCACGCCACGTAAGATCTTTCAACACAGTTTCTGGTTCTTATGTGTGATTCATTATATAGTTTTTCAGGAGCTGTGAAAGGATCTGACAGTGGTGTAAGTAAATAGTTAGTGTTTCCATAGCCACTGTCACCCAAAATAACACAATTTGGGATTTCACCATTGGAAAATATGTTCTTGATTCTGCAGTTATTGAAAATAGTTTGGTCATGGCGTGAACCCGGCCACCTTGTCAATTATTTTCAATTGCGCATCGCAAATTGTCTGAACATTCCATGAAATACATCCTTTCCTATTACGGAACCGCTCAGCGTCTTCTCCTCCAGGAGACTGGATTTTCACATGCGTGCAGTCAATCGCACCAATGACCAGTGGAAATCTGGCAACTCTATAAAAAAAAATTTCGCTTTTTGTCTGGTGGCAATATTTCCGGGAAATCTTATATTCCTCAGACGCAACCGAGCAATAGCCTCTGAAACTTGTCTCACAATTGAACAGACAGATGTTTTGCTTACTCCTACAAAATTTCCAGATTAGCATAAAAGTCTTAAAGTGAGAATTGAGAAATTGTAGGTTATGAAACCAGACCAAGAAATAAGACGCTGTCACTCATTGACCAATAGAACGAAGGAACAACTTTATCTGCAGTATATCCGGCTCATTTCACTGGTATAAGTTATACCGCCATTTATACCGAGTTGAACGTTATTCGACTATTGTAGATCCCAATTTTACAAATATATGCCAAGAAGAGCTTGTTCCTGGTATATACCGCAATTGTAGATTTAGCCCTAAAAGGCACAAAACCAGACAAGCCGAAAATTTTTCAAGTCAATCCGACCAGAACTTCTTTATTGACGAATGCCTAAAATTGCAACAAAAATTGACCAAAGCACAAAGTCATCTCACTTTCAACAATTCCACACTCTCAACTTAAGGCAGGTACAAACTTGCCCTTCAGTTCTGTTGTAAAAGACACTAAACTGGACAAACCAAAATATTTTCACGTCAATCAGACCCGATCTTATTTTTTTACGAATGCCTAAAATCTCAATAAAAATTGACCAAAGCCACGAACTTACCACACTCAAAAATTTCTCACTCCCAACTTAAGGCAGGTACAAACTTGCCTTTCGGTCCACTTCTAACAGACACTAAACTAGTCAATCTGAAAATGTTTTAAGTCAATCCGATCAGAACTTCTTTTTTGACGAATGCCTGAATTTGCTAGCATTGATCAAAGCCATCTCACCTTCAAAAAATTCTCACTTCTACCTCAAAGCAGGTAGAAACTTGCCTTTCGGTGCTGTTTTGAAAGACACCAAACTGGACAAGCTGGACATTTTTCAAGCCAACCATACAAGAGCTTGACTTCTCACAAATGCCTAGAATCTCAATAAAACTTGACCAAAGCCTCACTCACTTTTATCTTACCTCACCTCTCACACCTTCGGTCACCTAACTTTCAACAATTCCTCACTCCCAACGTAAGACAGGTACAAACTTGCCTTTCGGTCCGTTTCTAAAAGACCCCAAACTAGACACGCTGAACATTTTTCAAGCTAATCAGACCAGAGCTTAATTTTTCACAAATGCCTAAAATTTCAACAAGAATTGAGCAAAGCCAAAATTGAACAGATGCATTTGTTTACGTTTATCGATGGGAGCAACATTGGTTCATAGTCTATACAGGGTGATTCAAAATTGGCGTCATTCC